ATATATATATATTCAAACACTTGCCAAGGAAATTATAGTGATTATGCATTTTATTAACTCTCTGGCTGCCCTTGGGTCAAAATTACCTTGAGGCTTCAGTTATAAAATTTAGGCCTTATGGATAATTTTGACCCAAGGGCAGCATCTCATTAGGACAGTCTAGCCTGTGGGTGACTAATAGACTTTAGTTTACTGTGCATGTCACACTACAAGTATCTTGCTTTGCAAATAAGTGCTATGCTGCATTGTAATTATTGGTATAATCTTTTTTAATTAAATCACAAAAAGACAATGATCGATTTTGTGACTACTACTACTATTACTACAGATCCACACCCCCAAACTAACTCTTTCTGTCCTTAATTATTTCCTCTTGTACCTAACTGTGCTAAATTGTTGCTGCTACTTTATAGCAGCTTTTAAATATACAGAGTTTATAAAAATAAAAGAAAACACATCTGATTTATGTGATACCTTTTTCATAGTACCACTGCCGGGAGAATCCTTCCAGTTTCATCCAGGCGCGCCAAAACCCTGTCACCCTGCCCAGGACTCCAGGATTAGAAACAGTGTTTGAATCACCGCGTGGCTGCCCCTTTTACACAACGTGTTCAACTTGGCTAACAAGATTACTCACTGGCGCGGTTCGTTCATGTAAATAAAAAGGTAGTTTTCCGTTTACAGCACGGCCAAAATGTAAAAACAGCTTTACGGTTTCGTAAATGTAGTGGAGATGAGGGGAGTTGTTCATGTACTAATTATTGTATTTTTGTAACTTATAACTATTTAAGACGATCACATTTTTAAAATAAATTCTTTATTTAAGATAAATATTAATATGTATGAAGTTTTCGATTAATTAATGTAGAAATAATTGTTTTATTTTATCACAGCAGAGATTTTCCTACACGTTTAGTTTGTCATTGGTACACTCCAATAACCGGAAGCTGCGCAGTATTACTTCCGGGTTGTTGTTATGGACGCTCTGTACCCGTGCAGCAAAGAAAAACAACACTACATTCACCGCGACTGAATATGGGAACACCATTTTTATTCATTACATGTAAAAATGATCAAGATTTGTACCAGGAAAAAAAAAACTTTTGGATCGACACAGCTGTTTGTTGCTCCGTGCACTGTTTTGTTAAACAGCAGCGACAGATACACTCACAGTAATGAAAAAATGGACACTTTTTGCGGCATGTTGGATATCTTGCCTTTTTCTCGTTTTGCTTTAGCTATCGCTGCTGAACGCAGAGAGACTGCGAGTGATGTTAACTTCATTTCCGAAGACTGCTTTGGACTGACTCGGAACTGATTAACAGGAAGCCTATAAAAGGTAAACATGCTCATTTTGTGATGCAAAACTGATTTTATTTCGACATGTCCCACAGGTACGGGTTTCATACAGGCGTTTCAGCCAGTGCACCCTCATCTAGGAAGGATGAGTAGCCAGAACAGCTCAGATCTGAGAGTGCCACAGCAGCACTGTTTACAGCTCCATCCAAACATTGCATGTGTCCTAACAGTGTTTTGAATATGGTCACTTTAGCAGTGATAGACATCTATGGGATCCCATAGAAGTCCCATCCCATAGACTCAAGTCAGACTTGAGTTGAAATAATAATAAAAAAATGTTCAGAGACATGTGACGTGGACTTTTACACCAATGCCTTGGGACTTGAATTGGACTCGACCCTGTTTATTTAGAAAGACTTGATATTTTCTCCAAATCTGAAGTTTATTACACATTATTTATAAATTGGGCCCCGTTAATTAATTTCACTCATTCTGTATTAACAAAGGCAGACCATCCGTCATATTATTCACACTCTGTGTGTGAGTGAGCTGCAGCACAGCAGATCTAATCAACCAGATTTTGAATGAAAAACTATATTTTAAAGGAAGACAATTTTTGTAGCTGTGTTTATTTGAACGGTGCACTATGAAAAATATTTTTAAATGCTTTATAAGTTCAGCGACACTTGTTTCATCATGATTTGACAGGTTTTAAAAAGAGCACCTCGTCTATTATGTTCAATTACCATATAATTGCAACATTGTTAAAATAATAATAATAATAATAATAATAATAA